CTTTCTTTCTTTCTTTCTTTCTTTCTTTCTTTCTTTCTTTCTTTCTTCCTTCCTTCCTTCCTTCCTTCCTTCCTTCCTATCTATCTATCTATCTATCTATCTATCTATCTATCTATCTACTAATACCATTTTCTTTATAGGGTTACATTAACAAAATCTTGCACGTTTGAGTGCCATCTCTCTCTCCCCCCTTTTTTTGAATCAGTTGAATTTTTAAGTTTCTTATCCTGTAATGGGTTACATTAATTTATTTAAGATAAATCCTTTGCTATCCAAAGTCTGTGGAAAACCCCAGGAATTGGCTAGCAAGAAAGACAGTTTGGTCTAGTGGTTAAGGCACCGGCTAGAAAGCTGGAGACTGAGTTCTTGTCCTGCTTTAGCCACAAACAGCTGGACCAGTGACTCTTTCCTCTAAGGCCAGTTTACCTCACAGGGTTGTTGTTGTGGGGATAAATAGAAGGCGGGAGATGTATTGAATATGTTCACCACCTTGAGTTATTTGTAAAAATAATAAAGGCAGGATATAAATAAATAAAGGCCAGGAATGAGTTTTAACATTAAATTTTACTGAAGCATTAGTAAGACAACTTGGAACAAATGACCAAAAAACCCAGAGCAGTTAAATTATGGGATATGTCCATGGAGATCCCGTTAAAAGTTATATTTGTGCGATATGCAGTTATTTCATCAAAATGGTAGCTTGTGCAAAGAAAAAAAAACCCGGAAAGATTTCATCCTGAACGAGATGTAAGAAAATCTGTCCCACTTCTTCAAAGACTCCAAGATGACTGTAGTTGGAAGAAATTCTAACCAGACCGGTGGATTGTCGGAGAGACAGCTATAAAACCCTTGTAGTACATTATATCAGACAAGATGCATTTTCTGTCTTATCAAACTCACTGTTAGGATATTGGAAATGTGGGAGGGCAGTTCCTGGGACTTCTTTTGAGGAACATTTACTTTTGATTTTCAGGGCTCGGTAACCTTTGAGGAGGTGGCTGTGTATTTCACAGAGGAGGAGTGGGCACTGCTGGATCCCAGCCAGAGAGCATTGCACAAGGAAGTCATGCTGGAGAATTCTAGGAATGTGGCCGCTCTGGGTAAGGGCCTGTTTTGCTCTGGATCAGAGGTCTCCAAGCTTGGCAATTTTAAGACTTGTGGATTTCAACTTGTGGAATTCTGGGAGTTGAAGTCCACAAGTCTCAAAGTTGCCAAGTTTGGGGACCCCTGCTCTAGATTCAGGTATTTATGGAATGTCTTTGGTTGCCATAAGTGCTCAGAAAGACATTCTGGGACTTCTTTCTCGAAGACTAAAATAGAGCGGTGACCTTGATGGTTTCCAGGCTCCCACGATCTGTGCACAAATTCTCAGCACTCCATTCCACCCTTCCCTTCCTCCAGTTCATTGACAAGTTGAATAGCGATAAGGTTTGAAAGAAGCAAAGTGGTTCAGTCTTGACACAAACACTGATTAATGGCAAACGAGCTGGGTAGAACTGTGGCTGGTAACCAGCTTTAGTCTGAGTGTAACCTCTATCATAGATTATCGTGTTAGAAGAACTTCTTCTAAGCTACCTCTTGCCCAATTCTTATCCTTACCAGGAAAACTCAATTTCAGTTTGTATTTGTACCAGGAGATTTTCAGAGATTTCTTTTATGCTTGAGGGTGCTATTCACCTTAGATAGTCTAGTAATTATAAAGATGTCCATTACTCTGTACTTTCAAATGCCCTCATGAATTTAGACCAAGTATATCAGCATATAATGTAAGGTATTTTTGAAGGCTCCATTATAGTCATAACTCAAGGACTCTCTGTACAATGTAGGGCAGGGGTGTCAAACTCAAGGCCCAAGGGCCGGATGCTGCCTGTGAGGTGCTTAAATCTGGCCAGTGGGACTGCCCTGGAAACAGTGGACCAGCACACAGTGCCAGCAAAATCGGAGTTCGGGAGGTCCGTTTTTACTGGCAGAAGGTTGCAGGAGGTTGTTGCAACTGAAAATGGCGTTCGGGAGCCCATTTTTGCTGGCAGCGCGCTCAGGCCACCACAGGTTCCCCTACATGAGTGACATGGAGGTGGTCACGCCCACCCTGGTCATGCCCACCCCAGCCCCCTGAGATCAGACACAACCCTGATGCAGCCCTCAATGAAATCGAGTTTGACACCCCTGATGTAGGGTATTTCCAAAGCTTGTGTTTGCTGTTAAGCATCAATTGAAAGGCCCGCAATTCCTTCTTACATATTGTTCTTGATATCCCATGCTCCTAATTATTCAGTCTTCAGATAACGAAAGAATAATTTTTTTCCAAGAAAATAGAAATACCTCGGGATGATTAGGGGACTGGAGACTAAAACATAGGAAGAACGGTTGCAGGAACTGGGCATGGCTGGTCTAGTGAAGAGAAGGACCAGGGGAGACAGGATAGCAGTGTTCCAATATTTGAGGGGCTGCCACAGAGAGGAAGGGGTCAAGCTATTTTCCAAGGCACCTGAAGGACAGACAAGGAATAATGGATGGAAACTGAACAAGGAGAGATTTAACCTGGAAATAAGAAGAAACTTTCTGACAGTGAGAACAATCAATGAAATGGAACAGCTTTGCCTTTGAAAGTTGTAGGAACGCCATCACTTGAGACTTTCAAGAAGAGATTGGACTGTCATTTGTCAGAAATGGTGTAGGGTCTCCTGCTTGGGCAGGGGGTTGGACTAGATGACCTACAAGGTCCCTCCCAACTCTGATTATCTGTTAAATCTGCTAAAATAAGTGTGGAATTGTCCAAAGGGATATAATGACTGAGGTTAAATTAAAACTTTAGGCTCACAAAGTGGAACCCAGCAAAATCTTGGAAATTGAACAATAATGTATTTAACATTTTTCTGTGGTGGAAAATATAACTAAATATAATTAATAACTAACCAAATAATGTGCTGGCAAAGGGTAGAGACGGGTGTGGGTCATAACACCTGCAACAGGTGTAAATTTGGGAATTAAATATCATTCATCAAACACCACTGTTTAAGTTTCAGTGGTGAATAATTGTAACTTGGGGGACTACCTATATATAAGAAAACCATACAAAGAATGTAATCCAGAAAATGTGCAGAAATAACAGGTGAATCATTTTTTTCTGCGATGAAAATAATGAACTTTTTTTCCCTTTTTTCAAATAAGCTTATGGACAGGCGCATGAGAATAACCAAGAGCCAAGCCTAGTGCTATTTCAAGGGATCCAGTCTGAAAAGGGGATGGTTGGAAATCCGGGAGCAGCTCCAAAGAGTGTGAAAACCTGTCTAAGAAATGGAAGGAAGAAATCTTCTTCTAGTCACAATGGAGTCCTGGGCTTCCCAACCCAGCAACTTCAGCAACGGGAAGAAGTTGGGAAACATTTCAGATATGGCAAAATAGACAAAGCAAAATCTATTTTTGGTAAATATGACATGAACCCAATTGAAGAGGAACATTGTGAACGTCAAGAATATGGGCAAAATATCAATCTTGGCTCCTCTTTTGTTTTACATCACCCACCATACATCCGAGAGACACCATACGCATTTATAAATTGTGGGGGAAAATTCACTTTGAACAGTCATTTTAGGCCCCATAAAGAGGAGAATCCACATGAGTGTGAAACGGCTGCCAGCCAGAAACAGTTGCTTATTTTACCCCCAGAAAATCCCCCAATGGAAAAACGATATAAATGCCCAGAATGCGGAAAGACCTTCACTCACAAATGTAAACTTACTGTCCATGAACGGACCCACACAGGGGAGAAACCATATACGTGCCTGGTATGTGGAAGACAGTTTAGCCAGACTGGTCACCTTACCAGACATCAACGTACCCACACTGGAGAGAAACCATATTCATGCCTGCAGTGTGGAAGGAAATACAGTGGGAGTTCCAGCCTTATCAAGCACGTAAGGAGCCACACGGGGGAGAAACCCTATAAATGCACAGAGTGTGATAAGAGCTTCAATCAGAGCAGTCACTATATCCGCCATAAAATGATCCACACAGGCGAAAAACCCTACAAGTGCTTGGAGTGCGGGAAGAGCTTTGGGCGTAACTTTAGCCTGATGCAACATAAAAGGACCCACACCGGGGAGAAACCGTATCAATGCCTGGTTTGTGGAAAGAGTTTCAGTGGATCCTCGGATCTCATGTATCATAAGAGGATTCATACGGGGGAGAGACCGTATAAATGCCTGGAGTGCGGAAAGCAATTCAGTAGGAGAAGTCGCCTCACGGCTCACAGAAGGAAGCACACAGGGCAGAAACCGTACACATGCCTGGTGTGTGGAAGGCAATTCAGTCAGAGCGGTCACCTCACAAGTCACAAAAGAACCCACACCGGGGAGAAACCATTTGCCTGCTTGAAATGCGGAAGGAAGTTCAGTAGACGATCAAGCCTTGTGATTCATGTGAGAATCCACACGGGGGAGAATCCATATAAATGTACCGAGTGTGGGAAGGGCTTCCGTCAGAGAACCACCTATATTTACCATCGAAGGATCCATACAGGGGAGAAACCCTTCAAATGCCTGGAGTGTGGGAAGAACTTCAGGCGAAACTGTCACCTTAAGAAACACAAAAGGATGCACACTGGGAAGAAGTTGTATCAGCACTAGGGCTGTGAAAAGACCTTCGGCTTTCATTCAGATTATTATTATTATGACCTTTATTGTCAGAGTACAACATGTGTACAATGAGATTGCCTAAGCCTCCCTTTGTGCACCCCGCCCCCCAAAACAACTCACAGTGAGGACGGAAGTCCCTGACCCAGTCCCAATCTTATTACACTATGTGACCTTGTTGCACAACGCGCTTGCCCCGCAAGTCTATCATACTATTTGGCTTCTCATAGAAGTACAGGCAGTCCTCGACTTAAAACAGTTCATTTAGTGACCGTTCAAAGATATAACAGCACTGAAAAAAAAGAGACCCATATGTGAAATACTGAAGTGCTGATGATGACTGGAGTGACATTCACTTTGAAATGCCCTGTGATGACCCGGGGTGTGGCACAAAAGCAACCAAGTCACAAAAGTAGGTAAAGTCATTTTAATACCTCCAACTTGGCCCCCAATGTCCAGTTATCATCGGCTGGAGAAAAAACTCTCTCAAAAACAGTTTTCAAAGGGAAGAAATTCAGTCCGACCACAAAGTACATATAAATTAGAAATAAAAACCAACACAAACCACGCTGCAGCAATTAACGAGACAGGGCAGGATAAGGAATTGCAGAATTCAAAAGATAACAAAACACACATGGTTGGGAGGATGCCAGAACCCAGATAAGACTTGACAAACAAAGATAATGCATGCTTTGCTTCCAGCAAGGACTGTGTGCAAACACCCTCTTTATCCTGTTTTCCCAGCTGCAGCTAATGAAGGGAATCAGGGCCTTTTTCTCCTCTGTAACCCATGTTGCTCCCTTATCCTTTCCTCCCTGCGTGCCCTAGAATGAAGAGGCGGTGGGCCTGGGTCTTCCTCTGAATGCCCAGCCGGACTGGGCCCTTCCCCAGATTCCTCCACAGCCACCGGAGTCACACTCCCGCTCCCTGTCAGCTGTTCGACCTCCCCCTCAGAATCAGACTCCAACAGGGGCATGACATGCCCTCTCGTCAGACCTAAATGAATCCACATGGGAGAACCATAAAAATACCTTGCAGTGTTGAAATGGGTTAAAACGCAGCACTGTCCTTGTTTCCCATAGGAGGTCCTATGAGCCTAAATGAACTTTTGCTACCAGTTCTGCCTCCCCCCACAAGAAACTACATACATGCCTGAATTTGATTGATCTTCAGGAATGCTAAACCTGCAGACTGAAGAGCTGATCCCAGCAGGAAAGATAATATACCAAGAAATGGAGCAAAGCAGCTATTTTAAGAGAATGTGTCTTCTTAAATACCAGAAAAGTTCCACTCAGGAGAAAAACTGCATAAAAGAGTAGAACATGGAAAGAGTTGTGTTTTTTTTTCCTCTTAAGTCTTCAAAAAAAAATTGTAAGCCCCTCTCCAGATTGTTGGACCTATCTTGAATATTTTTCTTGATGTAATCTGGGACTGTTGTATCAGAGGACAAAGAGGATTATATGGTTGGTCAGGGTTCAAGTCCCATGGGGCCGATGGGAATGTTTAGCCTTGTAAAAAAAGCAACCAAGAAGGATTTAATATCTCTGTCAAAGGATCTGGTGCGATGTCCTATAGAAGGAAGGAAAGGTTTGTCCTGCAGTGCAGAATACACTGCAGAATCAGGATTAATGTAACATAAATATTATTATAGTGATGAAACTATAGAACACTCAAAAACTACCTCTGCCAACCCCCCTCCTTTAATAAATACAGGAAAACACTTCCTCCTCTCCACAAATCCCCATTTTATACAACTTTGTACAAATGTACTTGTCCTTCAATTTCACAATAAAATATTTTGAGTTTTCTTTTCTAAAGACTGTGGGGTTGTACTTGCTTAGCAACTGTTTGAATTTACGATGAACCATCCCCCAAAAGATAATTATGAACCAGTTCTGGATTTGGAATGGCGTCCTACACCAATCAGAATAAAGCTGGAAAAGACCGTGGAGATCTTCTAATCTAGTCCAATCAGAGGTGGTATTCAGCCATTTCTGACAGGTTCTAAAGAACCGGTAGCGGACATTTTGACCAGCAAATACCACCTTTGACTGGCCCTGCTCCCATCTATTCTCCGTCTCCTGAGTCCCAGCTGATTGGCTGGGTCTTCTTTTGTTGCCCTGCACAGGAGAACGGAGATGGAAAGCAGGTTAGTGGAGTGGGGAAGGAATGGGGATATTGCAGTATATCCTTCCCCTTCACGCCCACCAAGCTACACCCATGCCCACCAAGCCACGCCCACACAAATTGAATACCACCACTGGTCCAACCCCCCTGCTCAAACGGGAAACCTATGGCACGCGTGCCAGAAGTAGCACACAGCCATCTCTGCCGGCACCTGAACTGTCACCCCAGCTCATTTCCACTGCGCATACGCATGCACCTCCTGCCAGCCAGCTGATTTTCGAATATCTGCTGCGCGGGGGATGGGGCACATGCAGGAGATGCATGTGCATGCACGGGGGGAGCACGGGGTCAAGTGCATTTGCAGGGGGTGGGGGAAGCATGGGGGGGTCATGAGCATGCTCAGCGGGGCAGGGGAGCGTGGGGTGGTCATGCATGCATTGTATTATGGGTGCAGGCACAGGCCCGTATGTGCACACTTTTGTCACACGGTGACAAAAAAGGTTAGCCATCACTGCCCGATACCATTTCAGACATAAGAAGATGAGACTAACCTACGACACCAAAGAAAGAGAGAAAGGAAAAACGATTAAAGATACATTTACTATTTTAAAGTTTAGAAAGTTTGCACATTAAATTCAAAGTCACTTGGAGCTGGAGACTCGGGCTGAAGGAGCCCCTTGGTTCCTCCAGACACCACTCCTGATCTGCTCCTGGTCACTGAGCATCCTTCAAGCAAAGGGATCCCATGCAATGAGACCTACTTAAAAAAAAAACATTGCAACCTCTCTTTTTGAATGGTGTTGGGGAAATGAACAATCTTGAAATTCTTTGGTGTCTTCCGATCCGAGCAAAATCAGGATCATTCATTTGCATAGCTCAGGGGTCGGCAACCTTAAGCATTCAAAAGAGCCACAAAGATTCTAACTGGAAGCCCCCCCCCCCCCGTTCAATTCTGGAGCCAACCGGAACTCCGGTTCCCCCACCATAGAGTCTCCTCCTAGCATGGCATCCTTTTTCCTCTACCTGTCCTAACTGAAAGCCCGATCAATTGTGGAGCCAACCAATGACCGGGAGCCGCAGCAGAGGGATGAAGGAGCCACATGCGGCTCCAGAGCCGCAGGTTGCTGACCCCTGGCATAGCTAATAGGTGACTTTAGCTGCTACAAATAATGTTGCTCTCTATTTGAAGGAATTGGTGGCCTGTGCTTTACAAATGCTGCAAAAAAGGTCATAAAATCAAGTTGCTCATGTGGGTACCTCAATTTATGACGGTTACAACCTATGTGTCAAGATTCCAGCAGTTACCCCCCAATTAAATCATGAGTCTCGAGCCAAACTTCCAAAACTTCAAAAGGATTTATTAGGAGTTAACATGTCCGGCACTGCCTGGGTGTAACCGACTCTGAGACACATAATTCATTGTCACACTTGATCCTGGTTTTCCCCCCAGCCCCCTGGGTGTATTGTAATTCATATTCTCCAATGGGACACATTCATAGCCAAGAGTCATCAATTGTGCTCTCCAGTTAGAATTTTGCCTAGCAAAAATTTCAATCACCTAGTTACTATCTTTGAAAACTATTTATGGAATGCACTTTTGGTTTCCAAGCTGCTGCACTGCTCCCCCTCCCTTTCTGCTGGCAACTCTAAAAAGACCATAGAAGTATTTTACGAGTTGACACTATGCTTACGATTAAAATTCCAGCCTCCATTATGGTCATAAGTTGAGGACTATCTCTACTTTCTCATGCTGCAGAAATTGTAAACAAACTTCCCTCTCTTTTTATTTCGCATTTCTAGACAGAGACCAGTTGCTTTGAGTTAGCGTTGTTTTTTCCTCAAGATATGTTAAAGGTGGACCATGGAATGTAGAAAAAAATGAACCTTAGGAACTTACACACACAAAGTGAAAAGGGAACACGCTGAATTTGGGAAACAATTGGGTCAGGAAGGGAAAATTCAAGACCTGGAGTGCCATTTGAAGAATGAGACTATTCAAAACAAGAAATGAACCTTAGCAACTTGCACAGACAAAGTGATGAGAGAAGGCACTGAATTTGGGAAACTGAATTGGGTCAGGAAGAGCAAATTCAAATCCTGGACTACGCGAAGTGCCATTCGTAGAATAAGCACCATTCTAAATAATGTGGCCATATTATTCAGAAAGGATCCTGCTGACTGTTGCCTGCAACTCATCAAATAATGGGTTTATTTGCCATCATTTCCCATCCAGTCAAAGCCATGCAGTCACAGGCTTATGCACCAGAGACAAATTCCTTGTGTGTCCAATCACACTTGGCCAACAAATAATATTCTATTCTATTCTATTCTATTCTATTCTATTCTATTCTATTCTA